GCTTAATCTCACAGCCTTGAGATCAGACCTGAGTTGAAACCAAGAGTTGGATACTTAACCAACCGTGCCACCCAGGCGCCCCTATAAAATCTTTTCTGTGAACAATATGTGTTAAAGAATTTGGTGCTGCCCAAACAAAGTTTGACTGTTCTCTTAGGTTCTGGGAGGGAATCTATACCTGATAGGATTATTTTTGCTTAGTGTGCTTGGGTTGGGTGAAGGTAGTTGGGAGACTGGCTGTGTAAATAATCTTAGGATAGGGATTGGTGCACCAGAAAGGCCAACCATGTCATTTAGGGTAGGCTTTGGTCCCAGTGGTATTAGTTAACCTGGAGACTGAGTTCAACCACCTGGGCTATTAGTCACTTTATTTTGCCTATGTAATGCATCTTCAGTTAAAACTCTGGAAACTGAAGCTAGGGTGAATTTCCCTGGTTAGCAGTACTCTGTGTGTATTATCACACATAGATGCCGGGAAGGTAATGTGTTCTGATTCTATGAGCGAGGACTCTTGGAGGCTCTGTGTTTGTAAGCCCCCCCGACTCTGCTCTGAATTTCTTCTTTTGGCTGATTTTAATCTGTATTAAACCATAATAACCTTTATGTGATAAATTGTAATTAGTCATCTCTTGTTATAAGCTGTAATCATGATTATAATAGCTTTCAGTAAAGTTCTATGAGTCTTTTTGACAAATTATTGAACCTGAGTGGTTTTGGAAACTGCCCAAACTTCCAGTTGGTTGTAGGAGAAAGGGCAAAATTAAGGCCTGTTCCAGATTAAGGCCTGTTCCTTCAGACTTTGTAGTTGCCTAATTCCAGATGACATGTTTTCATTTATTTTGGGTATATACCTAGGAATAGAGTTGCTGTATCACATGGCAGCTCTACCTTTAACTCTTGAAGAACTACTGAACTGTTTCCATGATGGATGTGTCATCTTACATTCCTACTGGAAACATAAGAAGGTTCCAGTTTCTCTACATTCTCAGTGACACTTATTTTTTGTTTTGTGTTTATTTTTGATTATAGCCATCCTGATGAGTATGGAGTGATAGCTTGTGGTTTTGATTTGCATTTCTCTAATGACTAATAATATTGAGCATCTTTTCATGTTCTTATTGGCCATCTGTATATATTCTTTGGAGAATTGACTCTTCAGATCCTTTGCACATTTTAAAATTAAGTTGTTTGTCTTTTTGTTGATTTCTAAGAGTTCTTTATGCATTCTGGATATTAGGCCCTTACCTTATATGGTTGGCAAGTATTTTCTCCTATTTTCTCTTCTTGCCTTTTCACTTTCTTTCTAATGTTTTCAAAGCACAAAGCTTTACATTTTGTTGAAGTCCAGCTTAACCTATTTTTCTTTTTGTTGCTGTGCATTTGGTATTTTATTTAATAACCATTACCTCAGGGTCACAATGATGGACACCTGTGTTTTCTAAGAGTTTTAGCTCTCATGTTTAAGTCTTTGATCCATTTGAGTTTAATTTTGTGAGGTGGAATCACAATTTTATCCTTTTGCATTTAGAAAGCCAGTTGTCTCAGCATCATATTGAAAAGACTGTTACCAATTACTTCTCATTATTAGAGTTAAGTGTTAAATTCAAAAGAATCAAAGAGCCCAATTTTGTAATATTCTTTGGTAATGTGTTCCAGTTTTCTCTAAGAATTATTTTTAAAAATACTAACTTTAAGTTTCATTTGCCTTTTATCTTAATGAAAATTGATAGCTTTTTTATATGTTATTCTTGAATATTCTTTAGAAGTTTTAAAAAAGTAAACAAATGATCAGAATTAGCAATATCTTTGGAGGCAGATTTTATAATTCTGGAAAATAGACTCATTCCTTTTATAATATTTTATGATACTTTTACATAGTACATTTTGAAATTTTTTGTTTAAAAATTTTTTTTTTGAAATTTTTTGTTTTTTTCAGCTTGTAAGTGTATCTTCATGATCTTTTTTGTAATGATTTATTGTATTTCTTTCCTTCAACTTTTGAGTTTAAAAATTCCAAACTTTGAAAAAAGTTGAAAAAATAGTACATGAATATCAAATTGACTTTCCTCTAGATTCACCAGTTTTTAATATTCTACCACAATTGTGTGTATTTTCTCTTTTCCATCTCTCTGCTTGATATTGTAGACATCATGCTTCACTTATAAATTATTTCATGTGTATCTCCTAAAAGCAAGGATATTCTTTTATATGACTATGATGCCATTATTACTCCTAATAAAATTAATATTGCCATTAATAATATTATCAAATATACACGATATATTCTTTTTTTTTTTCACGTCTTCTCAAAGTGTTTTTTTATGGCTCTATTTTCCTTTTCAGTGTTCAGATTTAGGCTCTAGTCAGGGATCACATATTACATTTAGTCTTTCTTTTTCTTTTCTTCCTTTAATGGAGAATAGTCTCTTGGCCATTTTTTACTTTTCAGGATGTTGACTCTTTTTTAAGATCCCATGTCCCTTTTTTGTATATTTCCTACCATTTGGATTTGTCTGATTGTTTCTTCATGATTAGATTCAGGTTAAACAATACTATCTTGGTGATAAAGATGAATATTTTATAGTTCGCTCAGTGATTTCCAGGAGATTGAACAACAAAAAAGGAATATTTCATTCCTCCTTCTTTATGCCACATCAACCCAATTAAATAAAATCGAGGGAATCAAAGAATCTGCAGTTATTGGGAATATCAAACTTCAAAATCTTGACCTGATGTTTTTCATACTTTGGCAAACTTAGTTTTTTTAAGTTATCACTTTGATTATAAGAAATGCTAGTCTACTAGAAGAGCACCAGTCTGGATGGTAGGAAATGGGTGCATAAGATATGAATTGTTTTACTCATTTGTTTATTTAAGAAATGCTGTTGATCATTTCCTCACATCATACAGTTGCTATGTGTGTGAGAACTGGATTCCAGTTTTTATTGCATTTGGCCATTAGGATGTCATTTACTTTTTACAGAGTAGGTATAGTAGTAGAAACCTCATTATAGTCATTTGAAGAATAAAAGTAGTGAAAGTAGTAACACTAAATGGATACCAGTCCTTAGCTTAGTTGTAGAATTGAGGGAATTTCTCTTTTCTTTTTTCTTCCCCTCCCCACCTTCCCTTTTCTTTTTCTTTCTTCCTTTAAAACCTAGGCTGATGGTGAGGAACTGCTAGAGAGGTTGAGACACAAAAGGAGAGGAATAACTAGCATCGTAAGATACTGGAAGATGGGAATGAGAGAACACAGGTGGAAGGATAAGCTTTAGATAGGCAAAGCTATACCATTTGATTTAAGAGGAAACGTATCCAAATGGGTAAGTGAAGGTGTGTAAGGGGAGAGGGTTAGGTACTTGAAGGAGTCAGGTGGCCTTTATTTTTAGCGATATATGAGTTAATTTCATCTGCCAAGAGTGAGTTTAGGTAAGAAATTTGAAAAGGGATGAAGGTTTGTAGTTGACCAAGGATAAGTAAAAGAATTAATGAGTCATTTTGATAGCCCGAGAATGGGTTTAATTGACCCAGTTGTTCACTTCTGCATTTTTCTCTACCTGATTTTCCCCATATAAAGAGGTTGAATTGAATTATGTGGAAGTGGGGTTGAACTGAAGATTAGAGGTTTGAAGGAGTTTGGGGGTGAAAGGTAAAGGGGGGATGGGAATTTAGGATGCTAACGAGAGGGCAGTGAAACGATTGGTAGTCTTTGGAGAAGAGGAGCATGTGTGCAGGAAGAAATGATTGACTCAGTAAAGTAGAGGGATGGGGCATGGTTTGCTTCGATAAGGTCAAAGAATAGATAAGGACTAAAAGGTTATAGCCAGAGATAAATCGATGTTTAGTTTCAGAGTTGGAATAAGTGTGAGTGGTGATGAGGTCCAGATTAGGGTCCCTGGAATGGATTAGTGGGATGAATGCAGTTGTATTTGTTTAGGGGAAGAATAGTTGAGGTACGCACATCATATTGATTGTGCCTTAAAATTGCCCAGGGTAATGACAAGATTTGTGTTGGTAAGGTAGAAGGATCTTAGAGCTTAAGGCTTCATTGATTACGGAAAGTGAGGAAGAAATGGGTTCAATGAAGGACATTACATTCTAGCACAGCCAGATAGCATACCTCTCAAAAAGAAGTGGATTTTATGCAGATGTGGAGGAGTTTTAGCCTAGAAGCAGCTAACAGAGGAGCTAGGAGAATATGGACTCTCCTCTCTCTGTTGTGTATGTAGGGTGTTAGAGAAATCCATTAGATTGGATTTTATAGAGCAAGTAGTTCCAGCAAGAGAAATGAAACTTTATACTATTAATGACTGGGGTGGGAGTGCAAGACTATAGAATTTTTTTAAAATGAGAGCATGAGGGTTTCTTTTCTTTCTAAGAGATTTTATTTATTTGAGAGAGCGAGAGAATAAGGACAGAGCATAAGCAAGGGGTGTGGCAGAGGGAGAGGAAGCAGGCTCCCCGCTGAGCAGGGAGTTCCAAGACCTGAGCAGAAGGCAGACAGGTAACTGACTAAGCCACCCAGGCACCCTGAAGGCACGAGGATTTCAAAGACCCCAGTGGAATTGATTGGAATAAGAAAGAAGCAGGATAATAAATTGAGGGTTGAAAATATAGTAGAATATTGAGAGAGCAGTTTGAAGACTCACCGTGATGGGGGTCTCTGTGTAAAATACAGATTATGGAAACCAAACAGTGGTATTTGCTTCATTTTGAATGGGGGAAAGGATTTTAGTGAAATTGCTGAAATGTAATACATTTAGAAATGATAAAGATAGCTAGCCTGACAATTTTATACTATTAAAAATGAAAAGTGGTTAATTCTGACTTGCTTGTAATAATGTGTCCACTGGGTGTCGCTGTGGCTTCATGTTTAGTTATACAAATAACTAGGTATAGGGGCTTTGTGTCTGTGGAGTCAATATTACACGGGTCTTCTGTCTGCTTATTTTTCCTTTTTGCAGTGAATTTTGCTGATATCACTTTCTGTTTATTTTTAGGTACAGCTATTTATCACCACTGCAAATAAAGCAGATACCTATTCCTAAACTGGCGGCTCCAAACTGTCTTGTTATTACCTGGGTGACCAATAGACAGAAGCACCTACGTTTTGTAAAGGAAGAACTTTATCCTTCTTGGTCTGTTGAGATAGTTGCTGAGTGGCACTGGGTAAAAGTAAGTTGAAAAAGTAACTTATTTGTTCATATAGTGTGACATATAAGTCACATAAATGTAGCATCTAATTTTTAACACTTAACATGTCACTGCTCTATTCCTTCAAAACAATCTATTTAAAACTTTTACCATACTACGTTTTTTCTTTTTGATGCTAAATACTTATATCTTCTTATTATCAAAGGCTCTTTACTTTTTGTTCTCTTTTTGTAGTAGAGTCTCAAACTGCTGGCCTTAGGAAATATTTGATTCAGGGAGCGATAACTGGATGACATTCTAAAAAGCTCTGATGTCTGTAGTTTAAAAAACAACAACAAAAAAACTTTGGAGAATCTGTCAGTAAACATTGAAATAGTGTTGTCCTTCATCTTCTTGCTCTTTACGCATCCACAATTTGAAAAGTCACCCTTTTTGAGTTCTTTCCTGAGTTTTTTTTTTTTTTTCTTTTTTCTTATGTTGCTGGGCATGGGAGGGAGAATAGCTAACCCAGCACAGAAGAGATGGGAAAGAACCAAGAACCTTACGTACTTTAAATTTTAACTTAAGTCCTCAGTGTCTTATGTGCCGCTAGGCCTCCTTTTGAAAGAAGTAACTCAGCTCTTGGATTGGTTGAATGATCTTTAGTATCTCTGTTTACTATAAGAACCAAAAAATACAGAAAAATAAGGCATCAGTTCAGAGTCCATTAGACATCCGTTTAAAGATGCATTGTCTACTTGATGAATTTTGCAAAAGCCCTCCTACGTCTTAAAAAGATAAGCCAACTTGTTATCGATTGAATGTTTAGTATTTATATAGCTGATATATTCATTTTAGACAGGAGAATTCTGTTTTTATGTACTTTGTATGTATTTTGTGGTCTACTGGAATACCTTCTAAAAAGTGTGTACATTGTTTATTTGCACCTATTTTAATGGACTTAGCAAACAAACATTAACTGTTGTATCTTTGCTTTTAATAGCATACTTTGGGCTTAGCTTTGGTTGATTTGGTATATAGGACATTGATGGCAATATAAAACTCCATTCTACCTTGTACATTATGACAGTTCTTTTATTGTCAGAGATGGGGGCCAAAGTCAGGAAAAGGGTACCTTCTGAAATCCAGTAAATGTTAATACATAAAATCTAAGAGTATTCTACTCATTTGTAGTACTAATCAGTACAAGAGATGATATGATAAGCCCAGAGTTTAAAACAAAAATACAGTGTATTATATGAAATGCTGTTAGGTAACTATTTGTACTGGTATAACAAAAGGGGTAATTTGCATTGAATATAAAATGTATCAAAAGAATAAGAATTTGCCTATATTTATACAGCACTGTGTATAAATAAGAAGAGATACTGTCTCTCCTGGGCCCTAGAGGTGATAATAGGACTTTAATGATTTGGCTTTTTAGTTATCTTGATATTGAGTTAAAGGTTCAACAAATATTCTGTTGGTGAAAATATGTATTTCAGTGGTTAGTTAATAAACTGGTATTGCTATTATCAATTATGTTTTCAGTTTGATTAGCTTTAAGTGAATCTTTGAGAGTATGATCGCTCCAGGGTGAAATGACAAAGTTGAACTTAAGGATTTATAATGCCAAGGGCTTAGACTAAGTATTGTCTATCTTACCAGTCCCTGAGCTTTTTTTAATTACTAATTCTAGCTCTGACAGTTTTTAATGATAGTATATTTTACAAAGTTTAATAAGATGTACTTTATTATAATCCACTTAGTCACATAGTCAGTAATCAATAAGTATTGTTTGAATGAATAAATGAATTAATGATAACATGGTTTCAGGAGTACATTTTTAATGAAAAGTAGATTTTTATGTGTAAGATGATAAAGTGGTATTTAAAATATTTTAGTCCCTTATAGCTGCTTTGTGAAGTGATGCTCACTAGCCATATGTGGCTCTTTAGCACTTGAAATGTGGCTTGTCAAAATTGAATTGATATTAAGTGTAAGATACACATTGGCTTTCAAACACTTAGTATGAAAGAAAAAAATGTAATATACCTCAATAACTTTTTGAATTTATTACATATTGAAATAGTATTTTGGTTATGTGAGACTAAGCAAAATACATAATTATAATTACTTCCTCATTCTTCTTACTTTTTAAAATGTTTAATATTAGTAGAAAATTTAAATTACACATGTGGCTTGCATTTGTGGCTTACATTACATTTTTTTGGATAGCACTAGCCTAAAGGTTTAATTTCTTTTTCTTTGGTAGAAACTGTGTAGTGATAGGAAAAAAGCCAAACCCTTTCCTGGATATTTACAGATGTATGGTTTTATTTTGTTTTGTATTTTGTCTCTTTCCTATCAGATCACCAATTCAGGAGAGTTTGTGTTCCCATTAGATTCTCCACACAAAAAGCCTTATGAAGGTCTTATACTGGGGAGAGTTCATGAAAAAACTGCTGTACCATTAAGGTAGGAAAGGTGATTTTTCCAAATTGTATAAATGTATGCATTTGTATATTTTATAATATTAATAGTACAGTATAGATCATTAACTTTCCTTAATTTTTACATTTTTGAAAATCTGGAAATGGCTTAAACCAGAAAAGTGTGAATGATATGGCACATGAAATTTTATATTATCTTTTGTTTTATCTAGTGTGTAACTTCATTATATTGAAGAAAAGGAAATTTTCAGTAATGTCTCAGTACTTAAATTGCTGATTTCCTTTATTGCTTCTATTCTTGAGTTTATTTTAAAATTCAGATTCTGGAAAAGAATCAAGGCAACTATGGCTTATGTATGAAAAATTGTCCTTAAAATATAATTTATTTTGTTGTTTTGTTTTAATTAGGAATGAAGATGTAAAAGTACTTTCCATTCCAGATCACAAGTTAATTGTCAGTGTGCCCTGTACTCTTCATTCCCATAAGCCACCTCTTGCTGGTATGTTTTTATAAAATAGAATTTTTATGACATCTGCAAATTGAAAAAAGAATTGAATTTATTATTTGAGTGGTGTTGAGATTTGGAAACTAAATGGATGTTTTATTTTCATTAATATTCTAAAATTCATAGCAGAATTTGTGAATAGTACTTTTTATTTGTTTTGTTACAAAAGCTTTATTGTTTTCATTTGGTCCATGACTTGGGAGATGGCTCTATGATGGTTAAAGGGCTGGCTAGTGGCTGCGGGGAGAGGCACAGGCAGAAGCTCTGACATCAGGGGGATGTGGAGGTGCCCCTCAAAGGCTGCTGGGCTCTGGAAGCTTCTAGTTGTGCTTGAGGGTGAGCCTTTTGAAGAGATACTTGACTGGCCCAGCCCAGCCTTGGGCCAGCCACCAGCCAACCCGTGGAGGTTAGTCAGGTGGTCACCCAAGTTTTTGATGAGTTTTGCCTCCTCATCTGGAAGTGGCTCTCCAGGAAGTCCCACAGATGGGGATTTGTGTGGGTAGAACCCAGAGCATGCATATCTAGAAGGGCCTGGTTCAGGTTCTTCTTCAGGGCCATGCATCTTCCATGGCATTCATGGCTTTGCCTCACTCATCTTGGGAGGGCTTCTTCATGTTTTGAAAAAAGGTGTGGCTGTTGCACTAGTTTTGCATCTTCCAAGAGATGCCTGGCAACTTGAGGTAGAAGTGCCTAGGCCTTCTGGAGTCACATTGTTACAATCCAAATAGAAGCCCTGAGAGGTGAAGGAGGTCTGCAAATTCAGGTTGACCAGACAGTTAACAGGGGCCTCCGCCTTGGGAGGATAATTCTGAGGAATCTAGGAGCTCATCGTTGGTCAGCAATAAGGATCTAACCACAAGAAATGAGGTGGGCTGGTCTTGGAAGTTGTTGCTGGAGAGGAGATTGGAAGGTGGTTGGAGAGTAGTCAGAGACTGGAAGAAGGGGGTCTCTGGGTCTGTTCCATCCAAAGACTGTTGAACAAGATTGTTGAACTGTTGAAACAAGAGGTAGGTTTGTGGGATTGCCAGCTGCGCTGTGTAGATTAGTTTCATTTCACTTTTGCTTTTCCTTTTATACCAATTTTTTAGGTTTCCCTTATTATATTGGTTGTTACTCCCTTACTGTCCTTGATAGACTGAAGACTGATGGGGCATCTAAGGACTGTAGTTCTACTAGGGGCTTTATTTCACTCTATCCCTTGCTTGTTCTGAGACCAGGAGCTCAGAATAGGAGTCAGAGAGAGATAGTTAGAATCTCCTTGATACTTGGTAGAGATTCAGTTTTATGTTGAGGTAGTGTTGCTTTTCTGAATGATTAGAAAGGTAATTGCTGCAGCCTAGAATTCTTACTAGCCTTAGTGCTTTAATATAATGTTCATTATTCAATGAAACTAAGCAGCAAGGAATAATGGAAAGTTTTGGCTTTGGAGATTGACTAACATGGATTTGAATTCTGGCTCTGCTACTTTATGAGTTACTCATAAATAACAATTTTTTACCTCAAAGTCCTCATTTAAAGAGAAACTAATGGTATTTGATTTTTTTAGAGTTGTTTAATCTTTTAAGATTTTTATTTATTTATTTATTTATTTATTTTTTTGACAGACAGAGATCACAAGTAGGCAGAGAAGCAGGCAGAGAGAGAGGAGGAAGCAGGCTCCGGGCTGAGCAGAGAGCCTGATGCGGGGCTCGATCCCAGAACCCCGGGATCATGACCTAAGCCGAAGGCAGAGGCTTTAACCCACTGAGCCACCCAGGCGCCCCTGTTTAATCTTTTAGAGTTAAGATTGCTTATAATATATTTGAAATTGTATAGGATATAGTGGAAGCTCCGTAAATGCTAAATTTTTCAAGTATGAGTTTAAAGAAATAGGAATGTAGGGGCACCTGGGTGGCTCAGTGGCTTAAGTGTTTGACTCTTGATTTTGGCTCAGATCATGATCCTCAGGGTCATGAAATCAAGCCCCCATCTCAGGCTTCTCATTGGGCATGGAGCCTGCTTCAGATTCTCTCTCTCCCTTTCTCTGTGCTTTCCCCACCCCCAAATAAGAATGTAAATGACATACTCAATTTGTGATTGTTTCCTATTCAAAAAATTTTTTGAGGAATATCTTTTTTATTAATTTGGTGATTCCTGCTTAAAAAACCCAAAACTTTAAAGCTGCCACTCAGGAAAACTACAGGGTCCCCAGCCTATCTATTATTTTGTAGAATATGGGATAGTTCATGAGCTAGAATACATGGGAAAGTGAATACAGATTCCCAAGGTAATTTTTATTGATTGCGCTTAGGATTTCTGTTATCTTAAATTGCTTACGTGGAAGAGTTTGTAGTGTTACTTCATTTGAGAAATATTCAGATGTGTACCTGATGATCCATTCTTTGACTTAGAGGCATGCTGAGTGAATAATCATCTTTAAGCTTTGTACTGTCATAGACTGTTCATTGCATTAAATATTAGTGAATTAAATGAGAAGTGAGATTGCACTGTTCTTTGAGAAAAAAATCATGTTTGGTACATTATTCAATGTACCAAAACAGTATTCAGTGGAGGGAATCTAATTTGTATTCTTCTCATTTGAATTTTCTTTATCATTCAGTGAGTATCAAAGCATAATTTAGTATTTGTCTTAGAGCTTATTTTTTTACTTTTAAAAATCTAAAAGCTAAAACCCAACCTTTCATTCTCAAATTACAGTTAAACTGTTTATCAATTATTTTTAAATAGGATAAAATTATGTTTAAAGATTAATCTAAGAAACAGGGTTTTAAAATAGTAGGTAAAAATTAGTCTTTTATTAATCCTAAAAAAATTAGTCTTAACATCCCGTATCTATGAGGTGCAGTTCTGCCATATGCCCAGTAGAGGGCAGCACAAACATTTTTTAAAGGATTGAGACCCTTTATTTATTTATTTATTTATTTTTAAAGATTTTTACTTATTTGACAGACAGATCACAAGTAGGCAGAGAGGCAGGCAGAGAGAGAGGAGGAGGAGGAGGCAGGCTCCCTGCTGAGCAGAGAGCCCGATGTGAGGCTCGATCCCAGGACCCTGGAATCATGACCTGAGCCGAAGGCAGAGGCTTTTGACCACTGAGCCACCCAGGCACCCTAGATTGAGACCCTTTAAAAAGAAGAGTCAGATTTTGGGGGCGGGGGAAATCCACATTACTTGACATATAATCCTTATGTTTTGATTAGGTGGTGGTAGACAGGAAGTATTTATAATCCTATATTTTTGAATTTATGTTACTGTGTAGCAAGTACATGTATTTTTAGGTATAGAGCTATAGAAATTAAAGCCATCAGAAAATAATTTCTGCATTGTATTTTACTCTGAAATCGTAACTCTAGGATTTGGGATAGTACATGTTCTATATGTAATGCTTAGAGCTTTTACATGTAAATGTTCTTAAGCTGTTTTATGCAAATTGATAAAATGAAATGTTCTCTCTCGCTTCTAGAAGCACCAAGATTTTTTTTTAAATTTGATTTATTGCTGCATTTACTCTGTTTTTAAATTTTGAAGTTTCCTGCCACAGATTAAAAGATAAACCATCAATAACTATGCCTTGTAATCTAACATTATAAATGTATATAAAGTTTAAAGATTTAAAAGTATTTGGATCAAAATTGTTTTTTTTATATTTTACTTTGGAGGAATTTCCACTCCTTTTCTACTTTACTCACTAACAGTTTCTATCTGAAGAGTGAAACAGTTTGATGAGATTCTGTGCACTGTTTTGAGCCCCTTCTCCCCTAGCCCTGCCCTTTGTTTCCAGAGCAAAAGGGGAATGACTGGCTCTGTGTGCATTATTTCCTCCTCTTTGATTAGAAGTGTGTTTTGCTAATGTCAGATGTTATATAATTATCTAAGTATATGTGTATGTCATATTCATACTTTATACATTTGAATTTACTTTTTAAAAATTGAGATATAATTGACATATACCATTGTTTTAGTTTCAGGTGTACAACATAATGATTTGATGGTATATATAGAGAGAAATGATCACCAATCACAATATGTATAGGTAACATTTATTACCACACAGAGCTACAAATTTTTTTCTTTGTGATTAGAACTTTTAAGATCTTGAGTTTACTTTTAAACTGATATTTAAAATTAGTAAGAGTAAGACATTTCCATTCATTTGCTTTTATTTCTTTTGTTTTGTTTTGAAATGTAGTTAACATTTTAAAAGTATTACTCCTTTACTTTCTATTTTTCTCAAACAGAAAGGAAAAAAAAACCATGCAGAAATGAGTTACATGTAGAAAGTAGGAGGTAGTAAATGGGTTTCAGTTTTATGTACTATAGTTGTCAATTCCCAAGTGCCTGGCCATCTTTTTCTACTAGATTGTGTACTCTTTTTTTTTTTTAATTTTATTTATTTATTTGACAGACAGAGATCACAAGTAGTTGGAGAGGCAGGCAGAGAGAGAGGAGGAAGCAGGCTCCCCGCTGAGCAGAGAGCCCGATATGGGGCTCGACTCCAGGACTCAGATCATGACTCGAGCCGAAGGCAGAGGCTTAATCCACTGAGCCATACAGGTGCCCCTAGATTGTGTACTCTTAGGAAACATGGGTATCTGTTTCCTTTGTTAAGTTCCATAGCACTGATTATAGTGGCTGTTTAGAATAGTAAACATTTTTGACTGGCTGACTCCTGCCCATTTAGACTCCAGATTATGGTTCCAGAATAGAGTTGCTAATGTATTATACCAAAACACTGAACAAACAGGCAAACACGCAAAACCTTGCTTCAGTATAACCTTAGACCACATTAAAAGTGAATTGAGGTTGGTAAGGCATTGAATTCATGGAGAAAAAATGGAGAAGTGATATAAGTTTATTGTCCTCTAAGGCTCTGGGGAAATCTTTCTCTTTCAGGTTTAATAATTTTTAATTATACACTTATGAAAGGACTAGAACTCTCACGCTAGCATCTCCTAAAAGCTATTGAAGCCCAAATTTGACTGCAGTTGGATTATAGACAATGAATGCTTTAAGTTCTTTGATTTTTGATAAACAGGACCAATATTTTTATAAACAGTTATTTTTCTGTGAGGGTGATTGGAGAACATTATGAACATAAAATTTTATATACTTTTTATTTTAAACTTTATCTATGTCAAGTACTCCTAAGGAATACTCACTGTTCCTAAAGGGAATTTGATAAATTTCTTCTAAGCTCAATCTTGTATGGTAATTAAGAACTACATTTAAAAAATGCTCTTCTAGGACTCTTCATCCCTAAATTGTTATTTTCATGCCCACTTCATGTAATGGTTAATGTAGCTAACCAGCAACAATCAAAGTTAAATTGATTTAAATATTTGCAATCCAAATGAACATGTGCTTAAAAAAAAAGCTTCTATGGTATTTTCTTTCTGTTACTGTGTATCATAGCATTTAATCAACATATGTTTGAGGTACCTTTTTCCTGATAAAATATAATTTTTAGTAGTTATTGATACATTGCATAAGGACTACTTACTTGTGGAAATATATGGTGAAATTTTAGGTAAAAAGGATCTATAATTTGGGAATGATGGAATGTGCTACCAAGTTATAGCTACGAAAGTGTTTTATTTGTTAGTTATATGTGTTCAATATTTTTATCGGTATCCAGTTCTTCATTTACTGCTCTTTCACTAATATATTGCTAGCATAGCATTATATTTTATCTCAGTTTTTAAAAGTGGGTTATTTTTGTGTTGTTCCTATATACTTCTTTTTCACACACAGATTACATTTATTAAAAAATAAAGTTAGTATTGAGCAGATATATCAGCAGTATTGGAAAACTGAAAAGTCACCTGTGAGGGTGTTGAAATTCTTTTTTCTCATCCACAAGTGAAAACTGATAAATCAGGACTCCTGAAATTTCTGATACTGTGTTTCCAATCTCAGGAGTGCTTATTTCAAATGATTTATAACTATAAATAACAAAGCCTATGATGAAATCCTTGAAATTAATTAGCTGTCTCCCCACATTTTTTTAAGGAAATCTTCTTGTTTTTCTGCTTTAAAATGCTAAAAGGAAATTGATTCCTTTCTTAATAATAATTTTTGTGTTTTTTCTCTTTTTTGGACAGAGGTTCTAAAAGACTATGTCAAGCCACATGGGGAATATTTGGAATTGTTTGCTCGAAATTTACAGCCAGGTTGGACTAGCTGGGGCAATGAAGTTCTCAAATTTCAACACGTGGATTATTTTGTTGCTCTGCAGTCTAGAAGCTGACTATGATCTTAAAGTTGTGATTTTCTTCAGTTTTCCTTACCCCTTTTTCCCTCATTCTAATGGATATTTCGCTTTCTTACCAACCAGTATGCTTAGAAATGTAAATAGTATTTGGTTTCTGTGCAGAAGACCAGAAGTGACTAGTCTTTATGTAATTTTGAGATGAATTTACTTCAGTTGCACCAGTATTCCCCATTATTCCAGGTTCACTGCAAATAAAGAGGTAAGCAGTTAGAAAAATGACAAGACTTTGTTATCGAAAAAGTTCGGAAAGCATGCACTGTGGACCAGAGGTCATAATTCTGTCAATAGATGTGTTTTATTTGGCTCATATGGTGTTGTAAAAGAAATTTGAACCATCATTCCGAAAAATCGGGAAATTTCACATAAAGTGTAGATTTTTGCTTTACTTTAAACATCAGAAGCTCTGGCTGCACTGCAGTCTGTATTCTTTCTGGGCATGTCAGTAGGACCCAGTGGTTGCAGCTCACTTGGGAAGAGACATGGGCTCTGCAGTTTACCACAGTAACACTTGCTCCGTGCCACTCGCTTGTGTTGTCTACTTGGCCTCTGTGCAACCCAAATTTCTGACTTCTGGTATACTGTTACATTCTGGAAAAATATTGAGAGACCTACCAAGTACCTCATCATTGTACTGAGCTTATCCTTTATGGAGGGTTTTAAATTGCATTCAAGATCACTCTTCAAGTACTTCTTAGTTTTGCTTGTTTTTTTAGAAGATTTAAAAAGTATTTCTTATAATAATGTCAGAAGATAACACTGCTTATCATTTGAAAGATATTTATATTATTTACAGATTTTCCATAAATATTTTTTTACTAAATAAAATACTTTTTACTGATATTATTTGAAAAGCATGCTGATTTATTGTGTATAAGCTTTTTAAAAATTGAGATACAATTTCACATAAACTTCTCCAATTTTTACTATAGGGTTCAATGAGTTTAGAAAACGTATGTATGGTTGTCTGTCTACCACCATATTCATGATATAGAACATTTTCTTCACCTCCAGAATTCATGTGTCCAATTATAGTCAGTCTCTTCCTCCCACCCCTGGCCTTTGGTGAAGAATGATTTGTTTTCTATTATTAGTTTTGCTTTTTTAGAATTTTATATAAACAATCATAGAATATGTAACTTATTGTATCTGGCTTCTTTCACTTAGCATTTTGACAAAAGTATTTATATAATTTACAGCTTTTCTACAAATAGTTATCTGCTAAATAAAATGTTAGATTGAAATGGTTATATGACAGGGTTGCCAATATGTTTACTGATTTTGCCAATGAAAGATGTTATTTTTCAAGTTTGTTCATTCTTTGAGCGTGTGAATATAGTATTATAGGGTTAACTTTATATTTATAGGGATATTCTAACTTGTTACTGGAATGGAAAAAAAGGTATTAAACATGAAGCAAACATCTCACAACCTCATTTGAAACTCTTTCCAGCTCTTGTAGTATTTATAGATTTTATATAATTTATGGAAACATTTTATCCTCACCAAGGTTTTGGATCTTTATTTTTGCACCACAAATACTGATACTTGAGGGAAAAAGAGAGAGGATTTTTCACTGAATGTGGTGTTCAAGACACAGAGGTGGGTTTTTTTTTTTTTTTTTTTTTTTTTTTAGTTTAGGTTGTAATCTTAGCTCTGTTCCTAAATCATACAACCTGTAGGCCTTGTTTGTAATGACTGTTTAATTATTTGGCTCTTTTTTGAACAAAGGATGGTTCTGGAAAATGAAATAATCACATACCTTGTGAGAACAGGAAGGCCAGAGTAAGAGCATTCAACTTTGTTTGACTTCATTACCAGAGTTGTAGCCAACTGACCTAATGAACTTTATTATTTGTTTAATGTTTTAAGATATCTTCATTCGGAGATTTTTTAAAAAAGATTTTATTTATTTATTTGACAGAGAGCGAGACAGTGAGAGAGGGAACATAAACAGGAGGAGTGGGAGAGGGAGAAGCAGGCTTTCCGCTGAGCAGAGAGCCCCATGCAGGGCTGGATCCCCGGACCCTGGGATCATGACCTGAGCAGAAGGCAGAGGCTTAAATGACTGAGCCGTCCAGGTGCCCCTCATTCAGAGATTTTTTATTGCTTTTAAAACCTGTAAGGATTTTGTTTTCTGTCATATTCTTTTTACAGACTCAAAGTCTTTTAGGACTCTTAGAAATGCTTAGCCAAAGGGATAGAGCTAATGTTTGTTCAATAGTGTGTGTTACTCTTTGCTATGCTTTTTACATTTTATTGCATTTAATCCTTGTACAGTCCTGAGAGATATTATTTCCATTTAATAGTCGAGAAAACTGAGGTGAAGGAGACTATTTTGTCCTAAAACCTTAGTGAGTATTAGAACTAGGATTAGAATGCATAGCTCCCTGACTTCTGAGCCCTAGAGTTTTGTTTGATTTGGACTTACCTGGAGGCCATGCAATCACAGTTGGCATCCTGAGCAACCACACAAAAAGCCATTTCACCCACACATAGTTAACAGTGGACACCACACTCAAGAAACTTTGGGGAATCTTGCCTCAGAAGATTGTATCCTTAAAATTCATGGCCTTTCTTTTGACATTCTTTCACCTTCCTGTTCAGGGTCCATTAGAGTAAAATCACAGAGCATGTAACTACTTTTTTGGGAGCAGATCCTCTTTAACTTGGTCCTTTCTGTCTTCCTTTCTCAGAAATGGGAAATAATAATACTTATTTCTGAAGTTGTTATGAGGATTAAATGAGTTAACACATGTAAGGTATTTGGAATATTTTAAGCAATCTGTGTATGAGCTCTTCACATATTTTTTTAGTTTCAGGTCAAAAAGCTTTTCTTAAACAATCTGTATTCCAATTCAGGGCATTCACCTGAATACTGCCCATGGAGTTTTTCTGTCTAAACATCATATTTTCTTGATCTTTTTCTTGAGATCAGATTTCCTAGCTTACACCTTGTTTCATACATGAGGAAGCTTTGAAACCCATCATTTCCATTGTGGTCTTGCCTAGAAACAAGTAATTGAAAATTAAAACAAAGGCCCCATCTAGCTTTTGGGCTTCAGCTCGTGTCTCTGAACTTCATAGTTACTGTACATTGTTCTTTGATGACTTCCATAGGTGGTTAATTGGTGGCCTTTCTCATATTTCTTCTATATTCAGAAACTTTAATTTTGGTTCAAAATAGATCTGTTACACTTGCAGGACCTTGATTTTTATGTGCACCAGCTGTGGACTGAACATTTGTACCCTCCCAAAATTCACATGCTGAAACTCTAACCCTCAATGTGATAATATTTAGGGGTGGGGCCTTTGGGAGGCAATTAAGGTCAGATTAGGTTGTCAGCATGGGGCCCTCATGATAGGATTAATTAGCCTTATAAAAAGAAACATGGGATCTCAGTCTCTGGATGCAAGCACCAACAAAAGGTCAGATGAGGACATAACCAGGAAGATGGCTTACAGGGAACCTGACCATGCTGACACCTGATCTTGAACTTTGAACCTCCTGAACCCCAAAGAATAAATGTTGATGGTAATTTTTATAGTAGCCTGGGACTGACTGAGACAGCCTTCAAAGGGATTTTCTTGTTGATAAGATACCTACCAAGTAAATAAGGCCTTTTTCTTTGGATGGTCTGAAAGTGAGAATAGGTTTTCTTCTTGGATGTCAACATTTGAGCTCCCTCAAAAAAGCCAGTGTCACTGTGGGCTGTTGTCTTCTTGAAGGAGGACAGAGACATTAGTCCATGACTCAGGTCTGGGCCTTGCCTCAACTGCTACCTTGCTCTCTCCTTGCTGTAGGCTGTATTTGCCTTGTCCTATTCTAGTCCTCCAAGTACTATGACTCAAACTCTTTCTTATTAGAATACCAAATTCACCTTTTCAGGTTTGGTACCTTAGAGACATATCTTTAGTGAATTTTTATATTTCAGCTTCAGTGAGACTTTGGGTTTTCTACTGATAGTGATTCAGAGGAAGATTATAATCACATTAAAGGGCCTTCCCTTCCCTGGAGATGCTCATCAGTTCACCTCATTTGACTCATATCACCACTGGCCTACCACACCCTGGGAAGCACCACAGGCCCATTGGCATAGTTCTCTGGTTATCAGAGTGCTTTTACTTCAATTATGTCATTTTACCCTCAAAGCAGTTTTATGAAGTTGTAGTTATAATGAGAGAACAAGTTCATAGAGGCTAGCTGACATAGGTAATAAGTGATAACCAGGACTTGAATTCTGATTCCTAAATTAAGGCACTTTATGTTGTATAATGTTTGTTAATGAACTTGAGATCTTACTAATAAGCTCATTAGCTGTTAATGAGAGGATCCATTGGGTAGCCTGAAGCAAATTTAGAATGGTTCGTATATATATCATCCAAACATACCTTTCTCAATATATGATATCATATATGATGTATGTATGTATGTATCTATCTATTGATATAGAATATCAATATATGATAAGTTATTAACACACTAGTTTTCATTAAAGATTTTAGTGACATTGATTGAACTGATAGCCACAATGCCATTCAGAACCACTCAGAATCAGGCTGTAAAACCCTTTGACATAAGTTATTAGCATATTTACTATGCAGTTCTGTGTTCCTTAATTAGATAGCCATTTTCAGTTCACATTTTTAAGGAAACTTATGCAAAAATACAGATTTGGATTTGAAGATGGCTATTCAAGTAGTAAGAAAGGAGAGATTAAATAAGTTAAGTGTAGGCGCAAATTATTTTATGTACCATGGTGATCTGTTAGCAGTGTTTGGATGTATGGACCAGTCCAGAACTACGCAGATGGTCTTAATTCATGGTTCTATTAACTAGTCCAGCTTGAAAGCAAGTCAGATTACCATGATAACTCCACAATCAGCCTTTTCCCTTAAATATTCCTAAGAGTTAACCTAAGTCTTCTGGGACTTCTGTGAACTTGAGGGGAACTTCTTGGTCTTTTTCAGTAGCAGTCCAAGACCTTGGGACCATATAAAAACAAATTGATCCCTAGGGGTGGAGAACATGAGGAAACTATTTTTTCATTTACTTTCTCTGATCGGGCTTTGGCCCAATTACTAGATAACTGCGACACAACAATGGGATAACTTTGGATGACAACTAGGGCAAATGAATGGTCACTTACGCTCAACAGTGTTAAATCATTTTTGGGCAGTATCTTTAAGGAAAAACACAAGGCACCCAGCTGATTTTTAGCTGCTTCTCCCCAAATTGCCCACACAGATCCTGATTATTAGTCAAACTAGACTGTTCTTTGTTATTTGACTTTAGGACTCTGTGCTGTTGCTTATGACTCTTCCTCAGTTGGGAAAAAACTAGGCTGTGGGATCAGCTGGATCTATATTTTGAGTCTTGATATTCATCTTCTGAGTGACTGAATAATTATTTAAACTATGCCTTCCTGTTTTCTGAGGAATAAGTAGGCTAATCTTTGGGCTTTGTAAGATTATTATGAAGATGAAGTGAAATAATGTATATGAAGTTGCCTAGCATATGACCTGGTACTTAGAAGTTATTCAATATATATGCTTATTTCTCTTTATTTACAGTCTTCCTGACAACTTGTCTTAACTTCATGATCCACTTTTCCCATCCCCTAAAAGAAGGCTTTTATTCTAGCTCTGAGAGCCGCTTTTCACATGTGTGGATTATCCAGATAGGTTTTCCCTCACATTTATCACGGAAAGAGAAAAGTGGTTAATTCTTTAGGTAGCTCACTGAAAAAAAAAAAATAAGCTTTTTATCCTCTGGAACACCTTATCAGAGGAGGACAATCTTTTATTTATGTTTCTCCTTCCAGCATACCTGAACTGCCCATATTAATGAATGAATGAATGAACCCTTGGCTTTCAAGTATCTTTGAATTCTGTTGAGTAGCTAAGACTTGCATAAAAAACCATTACAGCATAACAAACCACAGTGTACAAAGATTAAGTGGTGGAATAGACAGAAAGTGATGCAGAAGTTTAGAGAAGCAGATCATAGAGATCACTAAGCAATGTGAGAAATAGCGAGCAAACCAAGTCCTGATTAAATTTTGGTTTATTCTCTAGCCATAATGACGTTACTAGATAGTAGGCAGCTAAAATATGTGAGTTCAGAAGAATTACAAAGAAAGCATTTTACTCTTTGTAGATTGTAAAAAATTAAAATATTTTATTTCTCTAGAAATATAGAGGATAATAGTACATGCAATTTATTCTATCAGTTTGTTAGAACAGGAGTTTCTACTTCTCTGTATTTTCCACCTTTTGAATGAAAATGTTATTTGGGCATTTTTTTCTAGAGTTGTCTTATAGGATTATTTTTATTATTTTACAGCTGTACTGAGGTATAATTGGTGTAAATAAATTGCACATACTTAACAATGTAAAGTTTAATGAACTTTGACTTAGATGTATACCCGTGAAGCTACCATCACAAACAAGATAATAAACATAATCTCCCAAGATTTTGTCAAAGCCCTGTATATCCGTCTTCTGTAAGTACCCCTGTACATTTTATCCCTACACAATCTAGCCAAGTGAACTTCAGGCAGACTTCCTTGATTAG